TATTTAATAAAATGTTTTAAATAAAAAGATCAAACTGTTACTTCCTGGTTATCAATTAGAGGTACTCCTATACTTTCACATATTGAAATATCTAAGCTTCTATGGAAATGCATTAATAGTATACCTGCATTCTTCTTTTTAGTATGGAGGGCTCAATATTGCGACTTCCTGAGGTCATTGCCCTAAAGAAGAAATACAAAGCTTACCTGTACCTGGATGAGGCCCACAGTATCGGGGCACTAGGACCAAGAGGCAGAGGTGTGGTGGACTACTTTGGCCTGGATCCATCTGATGTTGACATCATGATGGGCACTTTCACCAAGAGCTTTGGTGCTGCTGGAGGATACATTGGAGGAAAGAAGGTTCAATGTCATATCACATTAGATTACTACACACACACAAATCACACATGCTGGTTCGAGTCTGGACTGCAGCCTGTCATTTCCAGCTCTCTCTCCCCCAATTCCAGTATTTAATAATGAGACAAAGTGAGTCCTTCTCACTTACATATTACATATGCAGGATTGCAGTTTACATTTGGCTTAAGTAGCAAATCTTGTGTAATAATTCACTTTTTGTTTTCTGTCTGTAGGAGCTGATTGATTACCTCTGCTTACATTCTCACAGTGCAGTTCATGCTACCTCAATGTCCCCACCCATCACCCAGCAGATTATTACTTCTATGAAGTGCATTATGGGAGAGGATGGCACCACATTAGGTGAGTTTAGAATTTTATTCTGTTCAGTTCTAATAAAGATTACTTGTGTGGAATAATCTTTGTGTGACATCTATTACAACTACTATTTGTACTGTAATACCTAATATATTAGCAATATTGTAATATTGTGTTTGTAAAAAACGTGTGATGTAAAAAAGTGCCACAAGATGGCAGCATTAACTAATAGAGTACTGTTATGAAATGAAGCGCTGTGGTTATTTATAATATAACAAGCGTTGTTGCATAATGTAACCTGTACTTTGACTCCCATGCTGCTCCCCTGTGTACTTCCTTGTGTGTTTTTGTGTATATTACACAAAACTTTAACCTGTGATACTTGTGAGCAAAACACTTGTCATCCGTTGAGAACTATTGAGCTCTGTTGTGGTCGGAAATATTCTCCTCACATGTAATGCTTGGGCAACGCATTGCAAGTGCACATCAATGTTACTGTGGTGGTTACAAATTTCTGTAAAAGGAGAAACCTTCCAATGTCTGTGCTATTAAACGTATTTTTATTCAGAAAACTAGAAAGAATCTGCTCTGCAATGAGAGAAGAAATTATAGAATACATTGCACAACTCATTTCACAAAGCAGGGGAATCAGACATCGGGCTTGTATAGCTATTAGCTGTAAGCATTTGCGTCAATGTACTCAAATTCTTAGAACTGCAAGAATATTTCTACTGCTGAAAAGTGTTAATTATCAGAAGAAACACAATCTTTTTGAGTTTGTTTAGGAAAAGTAAACTCGATGACTCAGCGATTGGTTACACATGCTAACTCCATCTCTGCTGACAGTTTGAAGCAGCAAACTCAGTTTCACCCCTGATTGATTTAGCAGGGCGTTCGTTTGGAAAACCACATCTATACCCCAAACACACACACACACACCGCATCTGGAAGCTCTTCGAGCCCTTGTGAGGCTTTAGCGTGAGAGAAAGTTCCTCTCTGTGGGATAATGGATGCTGACGGACCTTAAAGACTTAGTGAACTCTTTCACTGTTAGGTTCTCAAATGTATAGGAGACGGCTTATGTTATAATTATGCCATAGACCTTTGAAGAACTCACATACAGATAAAATGTATTAGTTTGAATCAAAGAGCCCATGTCTGCTACCTATAGACCTAGGTTTTGCGCCATATTGAATTTAACGCAGATGAAAATGAGGCTCTGAGGGACAGACTTATTTCATGCACTATATAAAGGTCCTAGATCACATAGTTTTCACCAACTCACAGCTTTCCAAAGTGTTTTGGAGGTTCTGTCCACTGTTTAATTATTTATTTTTTTTAATATGTTTTGTCAGCTGAAAAATCAGTATGTTGTTAAACAACGGTAAAATCCATTTAATGCATTGTATTCTTTCCCTCACAACCTTGTTTTCATTCCTGTCAAAAATTAAAAATGGCACTACCCTGACTAAGGTCAATTGGTTCTCTTAGCAGCATGAAAAAACGACTTTTATTCAAATTGTGAATTGATTATATGCAGAAAGCAAGCAAATAGCACTCAATAGCTGTCAGTCACTGTTCAGCACAAGCTCACTGAGTTTTGCAGCTAACTACAGTGTATACTAACTTTCCTATTTACATCATGTCTACACTTTGTTGGTTACTTTGTTTGACTTGGTCAATGAGCTCACACTGAACAAATGTTTTGAGCAGATTTCTTCTGCACAGAGACTTATTTAAGCACCTTTGGCAATTAATGTGCAGCCCTAGAGGATCTTCCTAGTACATGCACAATATAGTAACATTAGACGTTACAAACCTGTTCCTCATATCACTGCACAGCAACCGCAGAGAGCAACTATTAAAGTCGGCACAAAACAGCAATTTTAATTGTGTTATCCATTTTGATTTCATGATGACTTCTAGTTTGCATCTCAGGGACCTAGTAGTGGAAGATCACTTAAAGGGTTAGTTCACCCAACGATGAAAATTAGCCCATAAATTACTCACCCTCAAGTCATCCTAGGTGTATATGACTTTCTTCTTTCAGACGAATCCAGTCAGAGTTATATTAAAAATTGTCTTGGATCTTTCAAGCTGTTTAATGCCACTCAACGGGTGTTGCATGCATCAGTCCAAAAGAAGTTAAATAAAAAGCGCCCATCCATAAAAAATGTCTCACACGGCTCCGGGGGGTGAACAAAGGCCTCCTGTAGTGAATCGATGCGTTTTTGTAAGAAAAATATCCATATTCAAAATGTAATAATCACTTTAATGTAGCTTGCGCCAACAGTTGTACATGGAAGCAGTTCCGGGCGGATGACGTATGAGTTCAGCACTGCGCATGCTCAGAAGTGACGCACGCGGAAGCGCAGGGGAGAGATCAAAACAAAACACCGGTCACTTATTAGAAGTACAAAACGAGGATTTGTAAAGAAGAATGTTGGAGGATTTCAATATAAGCCAAGAGGAGCCTGGTTTTCCTTTGCTAAAGTAAGGAAACTTTACTTCCTTTGCTCCTGTTAACAAACATTGGTTTTCACGAGACTCACCGGCACATGCGCAACGCTGAACTCATACGTCATCCGCCCGGAACTGCTTCCATGTACAACTGTTGGCGCAAGCTACATTAAAGTGATTATTACATTTTGAATATGGATATTTTTCTTACAAAAACACATTGGTTCGCTACGGGAGGCCTTTGTTCACCCCCCTGAGCCGTGTGAGACGGGCGCTTATGGATGGGCGCTTTTTATTTAACTTCTTTTGGAATGATGCATGCAACACCCGCTGAGTGGCATTAAACAGCTTGAAAGATCAAAGACAATTTTTAATATAACTCCGACTGGATTCGTCTGAAAGAAGAAAGTCATATACACCTAGGATGACTTGAGGGTGAGTAATTTATGGGCTAATTTAAATTTTTGGGTGAACTAACCCTTTAAGGTATTATGCTTTTGAACTACATGTTGAATACAGTTTAGAGCAGTTGTGCCATTTTGGTTTTGGAACAAGATGAAATATTTGTTTCTGCTACTTAAAGGCAACACAAACGGTTTAATTTCAGTTTAAGCTTAATTTATAAAGCACCAGACTAACTTGCATTTCCTCGTAGCTGTTGTAGTTTTGGTTGGACCGTTTTCTCATCAAGTCTTTACCAATATTCTCAATACTGAATATTGTGAGAAAGAGCTTTCCTTTCTCAGGAGCCCCTCACTATGAATGGAATGTCAAACAAGTGAAAACTAATACTGGAGAGTATATCTCTACCTCTCCCCAAAGGATCATTCTGCACTGTTCAAAGTGGATTTGAATTCCTTTGGCTTCAGATAAAACGGCCTCCCGATTTTCATTTGCCATGTGTTGGCATGGAACTTGCGGAGATGTTTGCAATTTAGCTTTTCGTTGTTCCTGTTGTTGGATATGAAGAACGTATGAATGACACAACAAAATGACAAGAAAAAAACCTGCTTTGGTCCATGTGGGCTTTATCATGCACTGGGTTGGGCCATTGGGTCAAGGATAAGACTTGCCTGTGCAAAAGTCATCAGGGCGTAGCTCTGTGGTTTCTATAGTGTTCAGAGTGTTTCTTTAGTGTTGCTGTGCAGGTTCAGTATTTCTGAACAGCACACCTCTCTCTTAACAAGCCACACAATTTGAGATATGATTCAGGTCCACACCACAAACAGTGTGGGATGAGTTACACACCGAAACCTACTCGAAGTATGAGTAATAGTTACTCCAAGCAAGCACCACTAATGAATAAAAATCAAGGACACAGTGTCTTAGAAAGGGTCAGAAGCTGGTTTGCAGGGATGACAATGATCTGAATAATTCCCTTTTATGCAGGTCAGGAAAGACTCTGTCAGCTGTCAGAAAACACAACCTACTTTCGCAGGAGATTACATGAGATGGGCTTTATAATCTATGGGAACAATGACTCCCCTGTTGTACCCTTGATGCTCTACATGCCAGCTAAAATCGGGTCAGTCTCACGTTTTGTTTGACTGAATCATGGCTATTGTATTTGGTGATATGCTAGCCAGAGGATATGGATTTTGCAGACTCGTTCATTTATTTTGTATACTGCTGTTTAGAGCATTTGGGCGAGAGATGCTGAAGAGGAACATTGGGACAGTGGTGGTTGGATTCCCCGCCACACCCATCATCGAGTCCCGAGCACGATTTTGTGTTTCTGCCGCCCACACGAGAGAGATGCTTGACAAAGTGAGTATCACATGAACAACCTACTTTCGCAGGAGATTACATGAGATGGGCTTTATAATCTATGGGAACAATGACTCCCCTGTTGTACCCTTGATGCTCTACATGCCAGCTAAAATCGGGTCAGTCTCACGTTTTGTTTGACTGAATCATGGCTATTGTATTTGGTGATATGCTAGCCAGAGGATATGGATTTTGCAGACTCGTTCATTTATTTTGTATACTGCTGTTTAGAGCATTTGGGCGAGAGATGCTGAAGAGGAACATTGGGACAGTGGTGGTTGGATTCCCCGCCACACCCATCATCGAGTCCCGAGCACGATTTTGTGTTTCTGCCGCCCACACGAGAGAGATGCTTGACAAAGTGAGTATCACATGAACATCAGTAAGAGCTTCACCAATAAATCTATTAATGTATTAGATAAAAGGGAAGAAGAAAACGTAAAAGATAAAACAAAGTAGTTTACTTGTGGCTTTCCGTTTCAACTTCCAAACTAGTTCTAAACTTTACCTATTAGCTCTCATAGGTACTTTTATGTAAGATCTGTCCCTATTTTACATCACAGCTAATGATATCAAAACATATGAAGCGGTGGAGACCAAAAATCAGTGCTCCTACACATCAGTTATTCATCTATGAATCTCTGACTCACCTCACAGTCAACCAGAGTACATAAATTCTCTCCAAAAAATAAACATCCTGTTATCATTTAGCAATTACTCGGCATCATGTCTTACCAAACCCAGCATATTATTACCTCAACCAAACATTAATTCAAGTGTTAATAACCCGTGTCGCTTCTTGACTCTCTCAGGCTTTAAATGCCATCAGTGAAGTTGGAGATCTACTCCAGCTGAAATACTCAAGAAAAAACAGACATGGGAGTGAAGGAACTGACTGTTTTTCATTTCTGGAGAGCCACCAGGATTAGCACGTTCTCATGATGGACTGAATGTGTCTTTCTTCCACCCCAGAGAGATTCATGTCTAACTCGAGTGTCATTTTCATGTTGATTCATTTCAGTGGACACTCACTGAAGTCCACCAGCTGACCAAATTTCAAGTCTTCCCTCTGGGTTCAGTAACCAACATTCATTTCATCGTGCAATGTAGTAAAGAATTCACGTCACTGTGTTCAGCATCAGAAATCACACCGGATAAAAGTTAATGCTTTAGTGTCAGGACTAATTTATCCAACCTTCTACACGGTCTGAAACAAATGAGAGTATTTTCTGGTATTATACAAATATTATCTGGGTTTTTGTCTTGTTTTCCATTTAAAAAAATTGTAAACGAGGTTAATTCACTCAGGGTTACTCAAGTCTTTTTTTTCTCCATTTGCAATTAATGTTTTAAATAAATAAATTAGAATTCTTACAAAATTTAGTAGATTTATGCTTTAAACAAGAAAAAAACAATATGCCAATGGAGGACAATAAACGTAATTCAAGACATATATTGTTGAAGTCTTATTATATTACACAGTTTAGTAAAACTTTAAGCAAAATTTAAGGAAATTTCGATTTTTACTAGAAAACAAGACCGAAATCCTGATAAAGAAAATGTTTTGTTTTGTTTTGAGTGTACAAGAAAACAGTGACACACACTGGCAGTATACTTGCACAGCAAGTGTCCTCTTTTAATGAGAAATAAGCTCGAAAATATATGTGTAAAAAGAGAAATCTACTTATGAAGGAGAGAATTTATTATAGTTAAACCGTAAATAAAAATGTGGCTTCATATCCATATAAATGTATCTATAAAAATATTGACACATTTATTAATGCACATTGCAGTGTGTCTGCATTTAACTCGATACTGCATTCAAATATCTAATGTTAATCTTTTTCACAATGCAAATATGATTGTATTAGCGATGTCTTAATGAACTTGTACAGAAGAATACTGACAACATTCTCTGTTTTGTTTCATCAAAGCTTTCTGTATTTCAATTTGAGTTGTGGTACTTCCCATGAATAGGGTACAGTTTGGTGTCCCTTATCTTTATCCGAGGAACAAAGCCCATATTGCTTTTAAAGAGAAACACTTTTTGGACTCTTTTTACACAAATTGTTACCCAAGTTATATATATAGAGAGATTTTTCGGCTTTTAATTAGTTTTCATTCATATTTATTGCTAGAAAATAACAATCACATCAATTCTAGGCTATTAAATTCTATATAGACATGTTTTGCGAAAAATGAAACGTGATAAAAAAATATCTATATAATATTTAGTTTGACCCTGATCGATCCCTGGGTTCATAATAAACATTTTCTGAAGGTTCAAAGCCTTACACTGGCCATCTGTTTAAAAATGCTTTTTTTTTTTTTAAAGCGTTTTCAAGACATAATTTGTACTCTCTTTGTGGAAGGTGCCTTTGTCTTACTTGAATATCTGTTACTTGCTGACAGTTTGCATATCTCACAGCTAAGTATGATATCTACACTTACTAAGTGTATAATGTCTTAGCCAGGGCATTTCACAAAGGCAGAGGTCTTTCATTGAGCCGGCAGAAATAGACTGACATTGTTCACTCAATGTTTCATTCTTTATATCTGCTGTTAACAGACAGCAGTGAAAAATATTTGTGTTGCCTTTTGTATTGTTATATAGTTGTTTTTGATTTGCTCTAACAAAAGTGCTAAATACGGGTCACTGATATGATATGAAGAGCTCTTGTCTGTATGTATGATGATGTGGCTTATGAATGCCTGTCGGATGTACATTTAGTTTTTTTTTCCCTCCATTTCCTTTTGTGTTCTTAAGTCTTGTTCTTAATCGGAAAGGCAGCTCTGAATATGTCTCTGAATGCATATGTATGTAAGTGACTTCAGAGCTACTAATGACTGTTAAGAGATGCAGATATGACGTTGGCACATTGGCTTTATAAATGCAAGTAATGCCACTGAGCTGCATTTGACTGAAACCAAAAGGCATTCCACAATTTCTGTTTGTTTGTTTCTTGTACATTCTGAGTTGCAATTTTCATCAAATATACATGCTATCACATTTGTCACACTTCTCCATGCAAGAAACTGAAATTCTTCGAACGTGACTGATCATTTGTTTCTGAAAATAATTAAATAACTTATTGAACATTTTTTCTTTCTACAGAATCGAGGTTATTGTCCTAATCAGATATCGCAGAAAAAGCAGAGCAATCATTAGTCATGTTGTTTTTATAAACAAAGACCGATCTTTTACTCTGTAGTCATATTCAGACTGTATGATAGACATTTATGTAAGGTATAATGTATATTCAGTGAAAAGTTTGAAGTTGAGTTCAATTTAAATTATTTCATTATTAAAGACAAATGAGACAATGTTAAAAAAATCCACCTACTTTACACTCTAAAAAATGCTGGGTTAAATGCAACCCAGTGCTGGGTAAAATAGGGACAAACCCAGCAATTGGGTTGTTTTGACCCAGCGGTTGGGTTACTACCCAGAAGGTTGGGTTAAACATTTAACCCAACCGCTGGGTCAAAACAGCCCATTGTATTTAACCCAGCATTTTTTAGTGTAGATTAAAAACTTAAGTTTAGCTACTGCCTTCAATTTAATTGGTAAGTTACAGGTCATTTTGACTTGAATTATATTGAACTGTTTATAAAAATCAAGTTAAATTTCATATTTAGAAAATAAAGTTAAAATTTGTTAAATGATTATATATTTTTTACAGTGTGAGGAATGATAAACTACAATATCTAGAAAACTGCCTGAGCGTTTTATATGCACTACAGTAAACTTTTCTAACAAATGGCTTTGCGATTTCACTGATTTAAAAGAAAAATAAAAACAACTTAAATTCTCGTGGTGATTCTCATATATATATATATATTATATATAGGCCATAAATATTTAATGCATGATACATGTCACATTTATGGCTGATTCAAACAGAACCATGAGATTAATGATTACAAATGCACTTAGAGCTGTGAAATTTTGTGAATTTCTTTAGATTTCAGTTTATTCAAATTCTACCTTCTTAAATTCAAATATTAGTTATGCATCCTTTATCCTCTTTTCAAACTTAATTCAAGTTCAGGAATCACATTGGAAGGCCTTCTGAATTCAGTTCTGAATGACTCTCCTGAGCGGAAACGAGTCCTCGCACACACCTGGCTGTCAGATACATAATCATCACTAGCCCTGGAAACTGATTCTCCTCCCATGCTGACCCCATAGAGATCAGACCATCCTGCTGTTGTTTCGCTGCTGCGCGCTAAGCGTATACCTTTCGTTTCCTTAAGGCATGTATCTGAGATACTCCCATCACCATAGTAACGTGTCACCGATGATTCTGTGCTCCGAGATCCTGAAGGAGAGAAGAGAAAGTTGTGTAAAAGTTGAATAAGGATGCACTGGTGCGGACTGAAGAGCAGCGCTAGACCTGCAGTAGCTACTTAAACTGACAGACGATCAGTCCACATGGACAGACACATTTAGTGAATGGATTGAAGGGGTGAGGATTATCTGCCTGAATTTATAAAATGCTCATACATGTGCGAGTTTGAATAAAGATGAGGAACAGCGCATTGAAGATCTTCTTCAGGAGGGAAACGCACAGAGCTTCCTAAACAACTATTGCACATTTAATGTTTTAGCGGTATTTAGTGGACAGATACGCAACGGTGCAAAATGCTAACAGCGCGTAAAAGTTTATGGGTACTTGTAACTGTGCTGCTGACTGTCTGGATACAACGCGCGATCAGCTTCCCTGTGAGGCATCACAAGAGATCCAGACACGGCGGCTCTATAGAGGTGAGTACGAGTGAATCGAAATCTCGTTTCGTGGTTTTATTTCTTCTTTTTCCTTCAGAAACTATATGCGTTACAGTAATTGACAGTGTTGGGGAGTAACTAGTTATATGTAACTAATTACAAAATAAATGTAACTGTAATCAGTTACTGAGGAAAAAAATGTGTAATTAAATTACATCTGAAATTTTTTTTCACACATACAGATTTATTTCATAAATTGCATTGACTGCACCAATGTTTCAGCAGTTTGGGATGCTTATTCCATAACTGTTTTATTTACTTTTTGGGTTGTTTTATGTGTTTTATTTTTTAAGATTAACTGTTTTTCCAAGGCATTGTTGGATATCAGTGTTTCCTGTCATAGATATGCAAAGGTTTGATTCTTAAAACAGTATCATAGCTACTAAACTATTTCTTGTTATGATTTTAAATCTGTATTTAACCTCGAATGATCTCAAAGTAAAGAGGTGCTAAAGTCTGATTTTGTGGTGGCTGTGCCTTTAAATTCAATTATTATAATCTTAATTTGGACAGTAATCAGTGCTGGGTGTTACTGTAAGGTTTAACCTGCTTGCTTTAATGTTTGAAAATAATTAGCAGTTGAAAACATTAGAAATTTAGAAAAGTATTCAAAAAGTAGTTACATTATTTTACATTACATTATCTGTAATCTATTACATTTCCAAAGTAACCTTCCAACACTGGTAATTGATTAGAAACCATGCCTTCATGGTTTATGTTTGTTATATTTCATATGGTTTATGTATAAATTTTATTGTTTTATCCTTGTGTCAGACACAGACAGCATAGTAAATAACGCATGTAATATTAAATAAAAATATCACTTGTTAACTGAGTACTGTTATTTTGCATAATTTCCAAATAATCTTTTACGTCAAGTCAAGTCAAGTCAAGTCAAGTCACCTTTATTTATATAGCGCTTTTAACAATACAGATTGTGTCAAAGCAACTGAACAGCATTAATTAGGAAAATAGTGTGTCAATAATGAAAAATGACAATAGTAAACACTCATTTTTCAGTTAAAGACAGTTCATCATTCAATTCAGTGATGTCATCATCCAGCTCAGTTCAGTTTAAATAGTATCTTTGCAATCATTTGCAATCAAGTCAACGATATCGCTGGAAATGAAGTGTCCCCAACTAAGCAAGCCAGAGGCGACAGCGGCAAGGAACCAAAACTCCATCGGTGACAGAATGGAGAAAAAACCTTGGGAGAAACCAGGCTCAGTCGGGGGGCCAGTTCTCCTCTGACCAGACGAAACCAGCAGTTCAATTCCAGGCTGCAGCAAGTCGCGGATCTGCTTCTCCACGGCCTCCAGCTCGAGCTGCACCGAATGCAGCTCGAACGTGTCCTCACCTGCACTCAAAGGTAGACACACATCCGCCATTAAAGCAAGTAACAGTGAATAGTGTATTAGTAATGTAAGCGAGATTAGAGGCAACCACGCTGGCGATGCTAATGGCTATATGCTAATAGCGGACTCGGGAAGTCAAAAATAGAACTAGTGATAAC